CTCAAGAGATTTTAAAAGATAGATATCATACAGAGTATCTTCTCTGACCACAAGAAGTTGAAGTTAGAAATCAATAACAAAAGGAAAACTGGAAAATTCATAAATTGTAGAAATTAAACAATACGCTTTTAAACAACCAAGAGATAAAAAAAGAAATGAAAACCAAACTTAGAAAGTACTTAGAGATGAATGAAAACAAAACCACAACAAACCTGCATACGGGATGCAGCAAAAGCAGTACTAAGGAAAAAATTTATAGCTATAAATGCTTATATTAAAAAACAGGAAACTGAAAAATTGTGCTCTACACTGGAAATTGACACATTGTAAAATGACTATAACTCAATAAAAAAAGTTAAAAAAAAAAGAAAGAAAGATCTGAATTCAATAACCTAACTTTACAATATAGAGCTAGAAAAAGGACAGACTAAACCCAAAGATAGTAGAGGGAGGAAATAATAAAGATAAAAGCAGAGATAAATGAAATAGAGAATAGAAAAACAGTAACGAAAATCAATGAAATTAAAATTTGGTTCTTTGAAAAGATCAGCAAAACTGACAAACCTTCATCTAGGTAGACTGAGAAAAAAAGAGAAGGCTCAAATTACTAAAACCAGAAATTTCAGTGAAAATATTACTATCAATTTAAAAGAAATAAAAAGGATTGTCAAACTATGAACAACTGTACACCAGCAAATTGGATAACCTACATGAAACAAATTTTTAGAAACATAAAACCTACCAAGACTAAATCATGGAGAAACATAAAAACTGAATAGACCTGTAACTAGTAAGTAGATTGATTCAGTAATCAAATATCTGCTAACAAAAAAAAGCCCTAGACCCAATGGCTTCACTGGTGAATTCTACCAAACATTTAAAGAAGAACTAATCCAATTTTTTTCAACCTTTTCAAAATAAATGGAGAGGGCAACACTTCCCATCCCATTTTATGAGGCCAGCATTTCTCGGATAAAAAAGCCAAACAAACACACTACAAGAAGACTACAGATCAATATCCCTTATCAACACTGATGAAAATTCCTTAACAAAATGCTAGCAAGCAGAATCCGGCAGTATATTAAAAGGATTATATACCATGCCCAAGTGGGATTTATTCCTGGAATGCAAGGATGGTTCAACATATGAAAATTAATCAGTGTAGTATGCCACGTCAACAGAATAGACTGGGGGGAAAACACAATCATCTCAAATGATATAGAAAAAGCATCTGACAATGTTGGACATGCTTTTATTATAAAAACACTCAGCAAACTAGGAATGGAGTAAAACTACCTCAATATAGTAAAAGTCATAAATGAAACACCCACAGCAAGCATCATACTCAGTGGTGAAAGGAAGGGGTTCCTCTAAACAAGGCAGAAACAGAAACAAGGCAAAGATGCTTGCTTTCACCACTTCTATTCAACATGGTATGGAAGTTCTAGCTAGAGCAATTAGGCAAGAAAAATAAATACAAGGCACACAAATTGGAAAGGAAGAACTAAAATTATCTCTGTTTGCAGATGACATGATCTCATATATAGAAAATTCTAAAGATTCCAAAAAAAAAAAAAAAAAAAACAACAACCAACTGTTAGAACCTTTTGAACTCAGGAAAATAGCAGGATACCACAGCAATACACAAAAATCAGTTTCACTTCTACACATGAACAATTTGAAAAGGAAATAATAAAAACAATTTCATTCACAACAGCATCATAAAGAATAAAATACTTAGAAATTAACCACAGAGGTGAAAGATTTATATGATGAAAACTACAAAACATTGCTGAAAGAAATGTTAAGAGACATAAATAAATGGAAACACATCTCATGCTCATGGACTGTAAGGCAATATATCAAGATGTCAATATTACTCAAAGTGATCTATAGATTCGGTGCAATCCCTATCAAAATCTCAAAGATATTTTTTTTCAGAAATAGAAAAATCCATCCTAAAATTCATTTAGAATCTCAAGGGACATCAAGTAGTAAAAAAATCTTGAAAAAGGAGAACAAAACTGCAGGACCTACACTTCCTACTTTCAAAACTTACTACAAAGCTACAGTAATCAAAATAGTGTGGTACTGGCATAAAGACAGACATACAGACCAAGGGAACGGAATAGGCAGCCCAGAAATAAACCTTTGAATGTGTGGTCAGATGACTTTTGATGAGGGAGCCAAGGCCACTCACTAGGGAAAGGACAGTCTTTTCAGCAAATGGTGCCAGGAAAACTGAATGTTCACGTCCAGGAGAATGAAGCTGGGCCCTTACCTGACACCACATACAAAAACTAACTCAAACTGGAGCAAGGACCTAAATGCAAGACCTAAAATAATGAAACTCTTAGAAGAAAACAGGACAGAGGCTTTACGACATTGGATTTGGCAATGATTTCCTGGATACAATACCAAAGGCACAGGTAGCAAAAGAAAAAATTAAAAAATTGGATTTTATGAAAATCTAAAATTTTTATGCATCAAAATGCACTATCAACAGAGTAAAAGGGCAAACCACTGAACAGAAGAAAATATTTGAAAATCATTTATCTTGATAAGGGATTAACATCCAGAATATACAGAGATCTGCTGAAATTCAACAACAAGAAAAAAAACCAAACAACCCAATTCAAAAACGGGCAAAGGACCTGAATAGACATCTTTTTCCAAAGAAGATATACAAATGGCCAATAAACACATTAAAAGATTTTCAACATCACTGATCATTAGTTAAAAGCAAATCAAAACTACAATGAGATACCACTTCACATTCATTAGGATGGCTACTACCAAAAAAAAAAAACCAGGAAACAGTAAATGTTAGCAAGGATACAGAGAAACTGGAACCCTTGTGCACTGTTGGTGGGAATGTAAAATGCTATACCCGCTGTGGGAAAAGTATGGTGGTTCCTCAAAAAATTAAAAACAAAATTACCATAAGATTTATCAAATGACTTCTAAGTATATGTTCAAAAGAACTGAACGCAGGATTTCAAAGAGATATTCATAGGTCATATTCACAATAGCTAAAACATAGAAGCAACCCAAGTTGCAGCCATCAACAAATGGATAGATAATCAAAATTTGTTATAAACACACAATGGCTATTCAACCTCAAAAAAGGAAGAACGTTCTGCAGTATGCTACAACCTGGATGAACCTTGAGGACATTATGCTAAGCGAAATGAGCTGGTCTCAGACAAATACTGTATGATTCCACTTACATGAAGCAGTTAGAGCAGTCAAAATCATAAACGCAGAAAGTAGAATGGCGGTTCCAGAAGCTGGAAGAAGGGGAGATGGGGAGTTATTGCTTAACAGGTATAGAGTTTCCATTTTACAAGACAAGGTACTTATGGGGATGGATGGTGGTGATGGTTGCACAACAATGTGAACGTAATTCATACCACTGTTCTGTGTAGTTACAAATGGTTAAGATGTAAATTTTATGTTAAGTGTATTTTATCACAATAAATGAAAAAGATTTGCACTATTCATTGCATATAATTTCTTTCTCAATATAAAAAATACATAAAAAGAAAAAAAAATCAGTTCCAGGTGGATTATAAACCTCAGTGCAAAGGCTAATGAAAACAGCTTTCAAACATAACACATGGGAGCACTTCACAAGCTTGAAGTAAGCAAAGGTTTCTTAAACAGGATGCAAGAAGCACCAACCATAAGCAAAATGATTGATAAATTGCACTGCATTAAAAATTAAGAACTTCTGTTGATCGGAAGACACCATTAGGAGAGTAAAAAGGTAAGACAGAAAGGGAGAAGGTATGGTAACAGATTTGTAACCAGAATATATCAAGATGTCCTATAAATCAGTAAGCAAAGACAAAACTCTCAACACATAAAAACAGGTAAAAATTTTGAGCAGATCATTTACCAAAGAGGAACTCCTAGTAGCCAATGATGATATGAAAAACTACGCAGCCTCCTCAGTAATCAGGACGATAGAAACCAATACCACAAAGAGATACCACTGTGTCCTAAGCAAAACAGCCCTATTAAGAGTCTGTGAGCCCGTGCAGGTGAGGATGCACAATGATAGGGCCCTCCGTGCACTTCTGGCAGGGGCGACTTGGAAGGTAATTCAGCTTGTCTGATGGAGCTGAGCAACACCAAGTGACCCTGCAGCCCACCCTGCCTCAGACCCCAAGAGCACTTGCCCACGGGCCCAGGAGGCACACTCTGGGTGCAGCATGGGTTGTAATGCCTGCACGCTGGAAACAACCCTGATGCCATCAACAGTGTGATGGGTCGTGCTGCAGAGGACTAAGCACCCAGCACAAGGACTAGAAGCTGAGATGCAGAGGCCAGGTGAGAGCCAGCAGCACAACTATTAATTTACAGTTCCTTCAAAAGGGAAGATGACTATACTGTTTAGGCACTGAAGTGGAAAACTGAAGAAAAGCAATAATGTAATGACTACAAAAGTCAGGATGGGGGTTACTTTTAGCAGCAGGAAGAGGGTTCTGACAGGGAAGGGCACACAGGGCTTTTGGAAATTCTATGCTTTGACCTAGAGGATGATTATACCAGTTTCCTTTAAAAATAACTTAAGGGGTACATTTTAATTCATCTTTTTCATGCATTTTTATGCACCCCTCTGTATTTTGTAGTTTTCACGGTTAGAAACCTTTGATTTTGCTTTTTTTAAAGAACCCAAGAAACCCACGAATTCCCCTCACCAACCACAGCGGGGAAAGTCCTTGCAGGAAGAACCTAAGTTTGGAGGTCACCGAGCATCCACTGAACCACACACACATCCACATGGGGGAGCAGCCAGATGTGATGCTTGTTTAAACCTTTCCAAAGTGTGGCACTCCCCTGTAGGAGTCAGGGACAGGAGCAACAGTGACAACATCAGTCTGGGGCAAACGAGGATGCAAAGAAAAGGGAAGTCACCCGAGAAGTGCCACAGGTAGCAACTCATCACACGGGAGAGAGCTAACACGTACAAACAGTCTGATATGAGAATGTACCCCAAGAAGTGCTGAAGTCCTCTCCATTTCTTCTTTGTTCACCCGAATGTTGTGGCTTTCCATCACTGTGAGTCAAAAACCAAAGGAGATGAAATTTGCACTGCATCAACAAATCATTTCCGTGAAAGACTGCAGCGCCCGGAGCAAGCCTCACTCCCAGTGAGGACCATGACAACTGCCTGCTGCGTGCCAAGCTCAGCGCTGTATAGGAGGGTAAACATTCGGCCCCAGCAATGGTGGCAGTGGGCATGGGGACGCTGGGCGAGGCTCTGCGCTCCTGGGTGCCCAGCAGAGCAAAGACAGAGGAGAGCCTGTGGCAGGCCTTCCAGGGGGTTCTCACCAAGCGGGAGGGTTAAAGGCCAGCAGAGCAGGACCAGACAACTGCTGACTGACATAAAGCATCCAGACAGGCCTCCTCCCTGCACCGCTGCTCTCGGGAGTGCGGGAGACGGGCAGGTGCCCCCGGGCCAGGGCACTGCAGACCTGGCAGCCCAGATGGGATGCCACGTGGCCCAGATGTCAGAACGTTCTGGTCCTTCTTGACCAAGAGGTGATGCGGTCCAGCCCCTCTCGTCACAGACGGGGAAGTTAGGGGCTTGACACAATACACGACCAACCCCGAGCTAAGAGAAACAGTTGTTCCCAAACAGTACAAAGAACTCACTAGAAAGATGACTATACGTCATCCTTATGGGACCTTACCTGCCAAAACTGGTATCAGAGGAAGCTCCAGCGTACAAAACAGTGTCCATAAACCATAAGCCCGTTTGATAGAAATGATATCACTGTTACTTTTAAGCTATTATTTCTACCTGCACTGGCTGAACAACCTACTTAATTTCACTGAGCTACAATCAAGGCAACTCCTGCGGCACACATGGTTGGCTTCCCCTGTTCTCCTTCCTAATAAAACTCCTGTTTCCGTCTAATGTCCTATTTTATTACCACACCCAGAGGGAGATATTCAGAAATATTTGGTAGGACAAGTCCCCTCCCACTTTCCTTTAATCTTTCTCACTTTTAAGTGTGATTTAGGTATTTGTGAACTTTGAGTTTCCTGTTTTAATTTCAAAATAAGTTTACTGAATTCTCAAAAATTTAACTAGAGTTTTCGCTGATTTTGCATAGACTCTATAAATTATTGTGGGGAGAAGTGAAGGTTACCTCCTCCAGAAGCACGCACCACGTCTCCATCTGCTCAGACCATCTCCCATGCTCTCTCAGAGTTTCCATCTGAAGGGTCCTCGGTCCCATCTGCTCCTCTGCTGTGCCCTCAGACCCACACTCTGCCCTGCTCCTGGCCCTAGAGGAAGGGCTGACGCCCTCCAGGCCGCATGCCTGGGCTCCTTCCCTGCTCTTGGGCTGGTTTTACCCATCTGGGGGCAGGAGGAGACTGAAGTGGGCTCCCCCTGCCCACCAGCCGCAGTGCACTGCCAGCTGTGGTCCTCAGCCTGTAGCCACAGCTTCCGGTGCCTGTCCCTGGAGGCCACTGCATCCTTTGCTGGCTCTCTTACCCCAGCCCTTGTCTTGGTAGCCAGCCCCTTCACTCAACACTTCTCGATTGTTCCTTCAAATGACCTCTGCTTCCCAGTGAGACTCTGAGTGGAGATGTGTCCATGTCACTATTAACTGAAATAAACTCTTAGCTTTTATGTTAACTGCAGCATTAGAAATGTTCCAGTTGATCCAGAGTCTTCTTAAAAATGTTACAATTGTTGTCAATTTATAGAAAACATTTCAAAAACTTCAGGTCTTATCATCTGGACTATCCTTTTATGAGTGTGCATAGATCAAGCTGGCCTCGGAATTTTCATTTCCTGAGGACGTTGCTTCCCGTGAGCCTGGACGTGAGTGAGGGCAGCTCTGGGACAGGGGGCGAGGGCGCAGCTAACTGGGAGTTGTACTGAAATGCTTGCCTTCAGCTGAGAACAGAGGCCCATCGTGAGTCTGTGGAGCACCCTCAGGTTGGCACACACATTCTGATTCTTTAAAAGATCAAAAGAATTAAAAATTAGGCAAATGTAGCAGCAACGTTCATCACAGCCTAGGAGGTGCCAGTGTCCTGCGGCAGGTATCACACAGCAGGTGGCGCCACCAACCACCGCAAGTGGGGCGGTTCCCACGCTAGGGAAGGCACCTGTCGGCAAACTCAAGCTGCCTGTTGCTCAACACTTTCTCCCCAACCCAATTCTCCTCACTTTACAGGAAATGAACCACAATGAAGCTAAATGTCCAAGACATAAAGATCACAAGGTGGTAGAGCCGGGGGGGGGGTAACAGGGTCTGTGTTTAGCTGACAAAGAGCGCAGTGGATGAGCCATGGCCCCGACACTCTGACTGTCCCTCCCCTGCCCAGAGCCCTGGTGTCCCCCCCCGAACACCTCACTCTGCCAGACGACTCCCCAGACTCCAGGCGGGCCAGACTCAGTGTCAGAGACAACCCCCACGAAGAGCAGGCGCTGGCCTTGCAGCCGTCCTGGGCTTGGCTCTCCTGGGAACCACTAGCTGGAAAGCACCACGAGACATCCAAGGGCCTTTCTGGCTGTGCCTGGCAGACTGCCACGCTGCTGCCTGGAGGCCCTTCTGCACGACAAAGGGGCCACGCGGCTCCTACTCTAACAGTTCCCAGCTCTGAAGCTTCCCCAGGAGAGCTCAAGCGCCTCGATGGAGCTCAGACCCTTCGCACCACAGCCCACCACGCTTCCTGTGTGTTTCAACCCCAAACCGACCTGACACAGCCCCTCCCCACAGACAGTCTGCAGGACAAAGTGCCCCGAGAGAACAGCCCCCAGCTTAGCACCCAGCACACAAGGCAGGCCCACGTGGCCTCCTACTCACACCCCCTCAGCATGCTGCATGGCCCTCCAGTCATCAGCTCACAACCAGGAAGCCTGAACAGAGGCGCCCGACAGTGGCCCGCACTGCTCCCACAGGGAGGCTCCCCTGGGCCTGCTGTGCGGCCCTGTCAGGTCTCCCCCACTGGGCTCCGGGCAGCGTTCCAGGGCTGCAAGCACCCCGCTCCTCCAGACAGTGGCTCCTAACAGTCGGTGCATCTCCAGAAAGAGGGCTTGCAGAGACAGACCTGGGACAGCTGCTACAGTTCTCCCCACGTGGACTGAGGAGTGGCCATCCCAGGCCTGGGCCACGGCAGCCACGTCACCAGCAGGAAGAACTTATGAGCAAGCAGCAGGTGACTCTCTGACACCAAAGAATACTTTAGAAGAATCACACTATGAATGGCATCTCCCAGGAACACTCTCACAACGGGACAGAAATTACTTGTCCTCACTCCTCAGCCGCCACCCGAAATGTCAGGGTTCAAAAGCATTTGTGCTGAATAAGTAAAAACGAATGTCAGCAATGTTCTTTTTACTACTGGTCAGTCTATGAAGTAGAAAAAGCCCCTAGAGGAAAATCAGGCTTGTATTATGGCTGATAAGCCTTATCTTAAAACAACTCACCACAGTGTCTCTTGAGGAATTTCCGTACGTGCTGTTCACTTCAACTGCGACGGAGTTTCCAAAGTGTTTTGCCACTAAATCTTCAAAAGAAGGTGCAGCATCACTAGGGTCTATAAGCCATGCAGCAGTTCTGGGATCTAGCCCTACAGAGTCAGCAACTATAGAGAAAGTGGTCGTTTAATCATTTTAAGAACAATGAATAAATTGCACTTTTCCCTGCTGTAACAAGGTTCTTAAGGTTCAAATCAGTAACTATGGAGTTACCCTCCCCTCAAACCACAGAGCTCCATCATTCCTAAAGAGTGTGGAACCTTGGGTAAGAGTGGCCTCCACAAACCCAGGTCTCACACAGCCAGCCTCCATGGGGAATGCATCCCAAACTGCCTGGGAATTTGGATCTCTCAAAGCATGAAGAGCTGAAGGTCGGAACCCTCAGCCCCACACTCCTTGCCTTCTCTTGCCCACTTTTCTCCGCTCCCGAGCCTTTCTCTGCCCTACGCACCTCTCCCCGACCTGGCCCCTTCCCCACCCTCCTGCCTGGGTGCCTCCCCAGCTCCCAGTCCTGTGATGCGCCGGCTGCTCAGGCCTAAGTTCTGTGAATGGAAGGAGGCCTGAGGGAGCCCCTGAGCACACAGTGGGGGTGGGAGGGCGGGAGCGAGGGTGGAGATGCTGGCGTTCAGGGCAGTCACCCTGCGTGAGAAAATCCTGTGAGACAGCTAGGTGCGAAGGGAACCCAGGGGCCCGGGAGGCCACTGCAGCCCTTAAGCGCTTGCCTTCTCATCTGGAAACTAAGAGGAAAGATTCCTGGAAGTACCCACGGGGCACATATGAAGGTGCTTTTTAAAAATAAAGATGATATTTACTAAATACCTGAGCATTACGGACAAGGAGGGGGAGTTACAAAAGGATAGGGCGGCTGACAGATTAAGAGACAAAGCTGAATCCTAAGACGGCTTTTGGGAGCTACTTTAACATTCTGAAGTGCGCTGTACAAAACATGGAGTCTGCCTCTACATTCAGCTGCAGCCCTAGATCACGTCCCACTCGATGCTACCCTTCCCGGCGCCTCTAAATTACACCGGTCTAAGAGATTCACCTTCACCAGGGCAGCCACGGCATCGCTCTCCAGGAAGCCCCCGCGGAGGCAGTTTTAAAACTCTCGGAGCTTGGGGTGACGGGGTTGGCAGGCACTCTGCCTGCCGCCCTGGTCAACCATCCCAACCGACATAACTCCTCTGCTACTGCTAACTGACCCAACCGGGCTACTTCATTCTAGTTGCCTTTTCAAAGCTCTAATGCTCCAAAATTAAGGGTTCTTATCAATATCTATTTTTGAAAATCCATGGGGAAGGTCTGACAGTGCTGGAATGGTCTCGGGGCTGGTCCCTACACACTCTTGTAACTAAAAAATCAAAGCCTTCAGGACAAGCCCCATGCTGGGAGAAAGGCAGTAGCTAGAAAAGAAAAGTTAAGGAAATGATAGAAATTATGAAAAGTAAAGAAATCAGAATTAGAAATACTTGGAGATTAGCTGGCTTAGTAAAAGAGAAACTTAACAAAGAAATGAAAGAATTCAGGACAGCAGAGTAAAACAAACAAAAACATTCTGAAATAAAACTAAGCTGGGAATACACAAAAGCAAATAAATGCAACAGATAATGCCTTAAGTTTCTTTTTTTAAAAGAAGATAGAAGAGAGGAAATTATTTTAAATAAAAACAAATGAAGAGATTGAAAGCAGATTCTAGATAAAGTGATAAACAAGAAAGATGGAGAAGCGTCAACGTATGAAATCACAAAAACGTTCCAACATCACACAAAAGATAAACAACCACAGATTAAGATACAAATCTGAATCCTAAGGTTGCTTACGTGCTTCCTGACAGAAGGCCACACCACCACCCAGAGTCAGGGCCAGGATTCGGGGGCAGTCTTGCCCTCCCAAAGCCTGGCCTGGATCTGATGGGGCCCCCGGTCTCACTGCCACCAAGAGAAGAGGGAGGACATGTTAAATGACAAGATGGGGAAATCCTGCAGGACAAACAGCCTGATCCACCAGCAGTGGGGAAATGCTCGCAAGGAGATACAACAGAGGGGGAGGGTGCACAGAGTGAGCAGCTCAGGAGCTGTGCCACACCCGCCCAGCCAAGTGTGGAACCACACCCTTGCTCGCATCTCAATTCAAACAAACTGTAAGAAACAAAACCAAAAATATTTAGAGACAACTGGGAGGCCAAGGTAGAGCTCAGTGCTAGAGCTATACCTGCTTAGCATGCACAGCATCCTAGGTTCAATCCCCAGCACCTCCACTAAAAATCAAATAAACCTAATTACGTCCCCGACTGCGGAAGTGCAGACACTGACTAGATAGCTGATAACACGGGAAGACCATTGCTGACCCGGGGGAGGTGACAGCACCACCGGAAAAATGGAGCCCTCAGGCTTCAATCGTCTAATTGACATATTTGCATAATAACAACAGGTAGCTGGGATTTGCTACAAAATAACCCACGAGATGAAGGCTTGGAAATGTGGGGAGTTACAGGGGAAAGAAGGCCAGACTTAAGTTGGTAACTGGTAAAACTGGGCAATGTGTACTCGTGTTTTCCAACACCACCTCTCACACCGAACGTGTGGGTTTTCCCCACTGCACACACACCTCCAGTTCTCTGCAGACACCAGCTGGGTGTCCGACAGTTCGATTCAGTTCTGACACTTAACTGCCCGGCGTCAGTGCAGACCCTGCAGGGTGAGGCTCAGCCCCACAGACAGCCTCACCTCAGGCACTAGGCCTGAGTCCCTGCCTCCTGCACTTCCCGCCAACCAGCTGTAAATCAGGGGTTCTCATCACCCCTCCTCGGGTTCCATAACAGCTCACAGAACTCGGGAAAGCACCGCCTTACTGACACCTGTGTACTATAAAGGCTACCACTCTGGAGCAGCCAGCTGGAAGAGATGTGGAGGGCGGGGCGTGGGGAGGGGGCGGAACTTCCACGCCTTCTCCAGGCAGCCCCACCTCCCAGCACCCTAGAATCCCGCCATTTACAGGGTTTTACGGAGGCTTCATTACGTGGGTGCGGTCCATCAGGTCATTGGCCACCGGTGATTAATTAGCTTGCTCTCAGCCCCTCTCCGCTTCCTGGAGGTCACGGTGGGGCTGAAAGTGCCAATCCTCTAGTGAGGCCGCCTACCGCCTCTTTCTGCTGACTACCCTCACCCTGAAGCTCTCCAGGGGCCCCAGCCATCAGTCCTCTCATTAGCTACAAAAGACATTCGTCACTCTGGAGATTACAAGGGTTTTAGGAGCTGCGTGCAGGAATCAGGGACAAAGACCCAATATATATTCTTATTATATCACAGGTACTTTTGTATATGTTGGAAATTTTGTACCAAAAAAAGATTTTTTTTCCAACAGCTTATTGCAAATATTTTCAAACATTCAGACAATTTGAAAAGAATTGTACAGTGAACACTCATCTATCCAGCGCTAGAGTCTACAATGAACATTTTTCTACTTTTGTTTTATTACATATCCGTCTAGTAAAAAAGATTATAAAAATCTTCTTTATAATTTTAAATGAAAGATGAAAATATGTTTTATATTGTTTTGATGTTAACTACTCTGGACTTTAATTCTTAGAAAGTTTGTGAGCTATTTGTGGCAGCAGCAAATCTCATCTGCCCATGCCACACAAGTTACTTCTTCCCTGTTTAAAGTACAAAAGTAATACACACTTGAAAAATCCAAATAATCTAAAACACTGAGGGAAAGTGCCTCCTCGGGCTTAGGGCGTGTGGCCACACGGGTGGCGCGCTGCAAGGGGTGCGACCCAAGTGGTGCAACACGGCAGCCCTCACCGTGCTCCCATCCCCAAGAGAAACCACTGTTGGAGAGTTAAATTTGGAGGACTATAAAAACTAAAACTTACCACACTTCCAACTGTCATCATCACCAAAAACCTGTAGCACTGTTCTCACAAAGTCTTTAGCATTGAAACAAATAACAGGACGTTTACATTTCAGTGTTTGAAACAGCAGCTTCCTGGAAGATGAAAAGACACTCACTGAGCACAATACTTCACACACTAGTTGGGAACTGTCACCTCGGAAGAGCATTATTACGGCTCCACTAACAGTTACTGCTGCTTTGTCGACATTCTCCCTCTGAGAGCTTTCCAGGGATTAACTCAAACCTGTGAGGTGTGGATGAAAAATCAAAACGGAGTCTCCACAAGGGCGCCAGGAGGCCACTGAGGAGGTGGCCGGGATGGAATCTGACCCTTTGACCTGATGGAGAGCATCCAGAACATCTGCCAGAAACCCAGGACAGCCTGTCTACTTATCGACCCCCGCCCTGTAACGTTCACAGCTCCTTAAGGACAGAGATGTTCAGACTTGCATCAGAGTCAATCACAGTTCTTGCCAGGCAACTTTTAACAATCTTGTGGCTTTTTGTCCTCAAAGTCCCCGACTCTCTCTCTTCCCTGAAACACTCGTTCAGGGTTACTCAAATTTGTGTCTCCTGAACTGCAGTTCTTCAGACCCCAAATAACCCCTTTTCCCATCCGCAGCCTCCTGCATTACCTCTTGGTTGACAGAGGTGGGTATCATTTATCATTTGCATTTCACAGATGATGAAGCTTAGACACAGAGAGGCTGGTAATGAACTCAAGGTCACACAACTGGTCAGAGCCAGTTCCTGGGTTCAGCCCATTACTGACAAAGACCCAAACTCATAAGCAGAGCTGACACGCTCTGGGCTCCTCACAGGTGGCCTCAGCCTGTGCTCCAGCACACCCTCCCAAGAGTCTACCCTCTGTTCACACTGAGTTCACCTTCCTCCATCACAGGGCTATGCCATGTTCTCTCTCACTCTGGGGCCACAGCACATGCTGCATTCTTGCCTGAAATTCTACCCCCACAATTTCTGAAAACTGCTCAAGTGCTATTTTCAAGGGGCCTGCCCTGATTCCCCAGGCAGGGAGTTGCCCCATCCTCTATGTTCCTTTAATACTCCTGTCCCCACATTGCCACAGCTGGGACCACATCTGCTATGCTAGTTTACTTTGGCCCCGTTACATCATGAGCTCCTTGAATATGGGATTCACAACAGTTGATATTCATTGAATACTGACCGTGTGCAGGTACCATGCTAAACACTGCACAGGGACTGCTGCATTGAAACCTCGTCGTAATTGCATTAGGCAGGCACTGGACCCATTTTACAGACAAGGAAAACTGAGGCTTGGAGGGTAGAACAATTTTCCCTGCCTCACACAGCTGGTAAGTGGCAAAGCTGAGGTCTGAGACCCTATCTTGCTGCTGCCAGGGCCCAGGATATAAATCTCCTTTTTTGGTAACTGCTTATTGATACCTTAATGAGGGTCTTTGAATAAGGCTGAGGAAGAAGGAAACCAGGAGCCAAATGAGCTCTGTCTGCTCCACAGACAGACGTTCTGCACTGTCGTGCGCTTTCACCTTGGTTTCCCTTGAAGAGGGCCAACTGCCGACAGCACGGCTTCCGGTCTTGGCTCCACTGGACCTGGGGGTGAGCAGGAGGACCGGGGCAGGGGAGCTCATGAGGGAGAAGAGCTGGAGCAACGGGGCGCCACCCCGTGCTGACGCTCCCGTGCGCGGCAGACTCGGAGTCCTCAGTGAGGCCGGCCAACAGCCATGAGCTCTCCCACGGAGCCGTGCAGCCGGGCCGATTTCCATCTTAAGACAAACAAGACACGGGTCATGTAAGACAAAACGGCTAAACATGGTGTGTTCTCTGGGTCAGTTACAGAAGTTGATTATGCCGCATCTGCAGGACACAGGGCACAGGGGAGACGGGAGCTGCAGTGACCACCAGACGTCCACGAGGAGAGTGTCGAGTAGACTCACAGATCCAGAGTGCGGAAAGGCCATCCAGTACCAGGGCCCTACTCTCACAGAGTCTCCATAGAACAGGCCTGCCTAATTGTTCTTTCAAAAGAAAATACGTAAAAAAGTTCTGGGTTCTTGGGACCAGAGTGCTGTATTTCTCAAACGTCCCATTCTCACCAGAAATTACTGTGGTGCACACGCCTGACGTTAAGCTTTGACGGCTGAGGCATCATTTCAAAACACATCCTTCTTGAACAGGCGTGTTGCCAGCTGTGGGCAAGACAAGCAGCTGAAGAGCCAGAGGAAGGTCCCTCTTGCAGAAAGCCCAGAGCAACCTAGAATACTGACCAGTGAGTGACTGCTTCTCAATCCTCCTTATGCCTTAAGTCAGCCAAGAGAGAGTGAATCCTCAAAGCCCTAGACACCCGACCCTCAGACCCTAACAGAAGCAGAGCCCTAGGCCCATCTCTCTCCCTCCCCACCACAGCCTCTCTGTGTGGCCCTGGGCATGCTGTGAACCCTCCAGGATCTGTGAGTGATAAATCTTGTTCCTAAAAGCTCCCCCATGGTTTTTGCTGAAGTGTGTCCTGTGATCGTAATAAGAACCACAAGAGCTGGTCCAGCCACAGGGCTGGCCCCTATGGGGGAAACGCCTGTGGGAGGGGAGGGCTTCTACGAGTGCTACAGGCCGGACGAGCGCCTCAGGCGTTCCTCGCCAAGACAGCATCTCTGCTGGCAGCCTGGAACCTACACCATCACCCAAAACTCACCCCGGGCCCTGTGAGGCTGCGCTGGCAGGCAGGGCCTGGCCCAGGCCCCTGCCTTCTCACCCTGAGCCTCCTCGAACCCCTCTTCAGGGCAGCAGCTTCAAGGAGCTCCCTCCAGGCAGCTAGTGGACTTGAACTCAGAGGGCTGGGCAAACAGGAGGTGGATGCCCCCACCCAAAGCAGAAAGCTGAGTCACGGTGGCAATACAAGCAAAGACGAGGGGCACAGGCTGCAACCCACGAGGGACTTGCCAGGACTGAGAAGGAGCAGCGGAGCATCACCGCCTGCTCTGAAATTCTACGGCTGCGAGAAGGCAAGCACAAGCAAGCCAGTTCTCGTCCATTCTCACAGAATGAAGCTTTGAGATCAGTATATCTTGGTACTGAGGACCATTTACTGTTTGAAGGCAGTGACGACGACTTTCCAACACTGTGAGTGAGTGGATGGTGTGGTGAGGACACCAGCCGGTACTCTGGCAGCAACGATGGGTTTTCAGGCTTTAAGATGACCCTTTCCTACGAACTTCTCACTGAGATGTTGATTCAAATCTCGGAGCAGGCTCCACGGATAGACCTTCTATTCCAGAAGCTCTCTGAGGGAGGGAGGGCCAGTGTTTGCAGAGGTTCCTGTCATTTAGGTCCATTTTATTTTCATGTGCTCATACAAAACTTGTACAAGTTTAACTAAACTTGGAGCTTGAGAAACTCTAAATTAGGATAAAGCAGGCACATAAGTTCGCAGTTAAGGTAACGTGTAAGGACTTCTTACCTGGCAAACTGATGGTGTGCCTCTTGTTCTGGGCCCCAAACACAGGAGTGCTCAGTTTTTATGTAGATGCACTGGTCACTGTGTGTGAAGCCCTCCTCCAGGACACCGTCTGAGGCCGGTAGGGGAGCCCGGCCCTCCCCCGTGGGGCTCTGCAGTAACATCATCACGACGCCTTTAACAGAGGAACCCAGAGCCTGCGGATACACAATCAAACAAAGCTGCAAAATCAAACATAAACAGTGTATTTATTCAAGAAAGGTATGTCATGTTTTAAAATTTAGCAGGAAGAAAAGGCCTAATATTAAAATTTGTAAACAGCTCTGTTAATGACCATCAAAGGCACAAGCAAACCCACAACCCACTCTCCAAACTGTTCTCCTCCGTCTTCACCATCACAGTGGGAATCTCAGCCAGTGCAGCACAGCAGGAAGAAGAAATGCAAGGCATACAAATCAGAAAGGAGGAAATATACCCTCCCTACTTACAGATGACATAAATGTCTGTGTAGAAAACCCAAAAGAATCTACAAAATGAAAACAAAAAAACAAAAAAAACCTCCTGGAACTAATATGTGATTTTAGCAAGGTTGCAGGATACAAGGTCAAAACACAAAAATCAACTGTATCTTTACACACTAACAATGAATATGTGAAAATAAACTTTTTTAAAAGAGAAATTACCAGGGAGGGGGGAAGAGGGTATAGCTCAGTGGTAAGCATGTGCTTAGCATGTACAAGGTCCTGGGTTCAATCCCCAGTACCTCTACCAAAAATAACCAAATAAACCTAATTACCTGCCCCTCAAATAAACATAAAAAAATTACCATTTATAATAACTACTCCCCAAAATGAAATACTTAGATAGAAATCAGTAAAACATACACTGAATCCATATACTGAAAACTATAAAATACTGATGAAAGAAAACAGAGAAGACTAAATAACAGAAACGTGCCATGTTTAAGGACAATAAAACTCAAAATAATGTCAATTCTCCCAAACTAAGCTGTAGAATCAAGATGATCAATAAACTCCAAGTGCAAGAAACATGAAGAAAATGACACCAAATTACATCATAGTCAAATTGCTTGAAACCAGTGGTAAAGAGAAGATCTGAAAGGAAGCTGGGGTGGGGTCGAGGGGGGATGGGACACATTTCCTAGACAGAAATAAACATAAGGATGACAGGTTTCTTGTGGGACGTAAAGCAGGTTAGACGACAGTGACGTAACATTTTTACTTAAAGAAAAAACTATCAACTTACAGTTCATACCCAGCAACAATGTCTTTCAGAAATGAAAGGTAAAGCAAGATTTATACATTACGTTGAAAATTACAAAACATTACTAAAAGAAATTGAAATTTTAAATATATGGAAGGACACCCCCCCTTTCATGGATCAGAAAATTCAGTACCGTCAAGACGGCAAAACTGAGACAGGCCAGGACCTAGGACCCTTTACCAGAGTGCTTACCCCTAGACAAACGTCTCCCTGAGCAACAGGATACAAAAAGGCCACAAACAAATTGCCGTTTGTGAGGTACGGGAAGCAAAAGCAGGGTACTAGGGTGATTCTTGCACACAGCACTACCAAGGGGTGGACAGACCACCGAAGCCATGCCTCCTGTCCACCCACGGATCTGCCCCCGTTGTCACCCCATTTTACGAACCCAAGCAGCTCCTCGCGGGAAGCAGGCAAGGGTGCTTGCTCCTGCTTTCACTCCCCTGTGCAGTAGCATGAACCCCAGTAGAGCCGTGCTTGAGATTCTTATCTGGCCTCTCATCAATTTCTGTTGATTAAAGAGTCCAGAGGCCCCAGTTGGTAACAAAACTGCCAAAATTAATCTATAGATTTATATTAAAACCTGAGCTGAATGTTTGAACAAACTGACAAATTGATCCCAAAATTTATATTGAAATGCAAAGAAACCAGAATACCTGAAACAATCTTGTAAAAACTTACTATAAAACTAAAGTAATCAAGACAGTGTGGTACTGGCATACGGAAAGATACATAAATCAGTAGAAAGAACTGAATGTTCAGAAATAAACTCTTACATTTTGAGTCTACTGAGTTTCTATAAAAGTGCCCCAAAAACTCATGGGGAAAGAAGAGTCTTTTCAATCAGTAGTGCGGGAAATCTAGACATCAACATGCAAGCGGGTAGATCTGTGCCTTCATCTCACAGTCCTCAAAATGGATCATGGGCTTAAACGTAAGACTGTAAACTCTTAGAAGAAAATACTTCGTGACTCAAGATAGGCAAAGCATTCTTAAATGTAACACAAAATGCACAAGCAATCAAAGAGGTACTGGATAAACTGGAGTTCATCAAATTAAAATAAGTTTGTGCTTCAAAAGGTATCACCTAGAAACTGATAAAAACGAGTCACAGATTTGGAGAACTGCAAATCGTATATCCGACCAGAGACTTGTATCAGAATATATAAAGAATTCTTACAGATCCAAAATAAAACTCAAATAACCCAGTTTTAAAATGAGCAAAAGATCTGAACTGACACTTCACAAATGGCCAATAAGCACATGAAAAGATGATCAAAATCATCAGTTATGAGGGAAATGCAATTTAAAACCACAATGAAATGTGACTTCACACCTACTGTAACGGCTAAAATAAGGAAGATGGACAACAGCAAGCACTGACAGGGAGGTGGAGAATTTGGACCCCTCATACACTGCTGGTAGAAGGTAAAATGGTATAAGTACTCTGGAAAACATGTGGCAGTGTCTTAAAAATCTGTTGAGAACTATGCATTATCAGTCACTCACCATGGCGGGTGCAGGGCAGAGGAATAAGGTGGCTTCAAATCTTATTTCTAGCTCTCCTAGCAAAATTAGACACTAAGAAAATGAGTTTCTTTTATGGTGACAAAAAACGAAACAAACAAAAATCAACACTGTGTACTAACCTGGTCAGCTCTTAGCGGGGTTGAGCCATCCTTATACAACAGAGTTACCACCAGGGCTACTGCCTGTTTCAGCATCTCGGTCAGCTGGCTTTTCTCCAAAGCATCTAAACATCTAACATCACAAAAATGGTGTCTGAAGGCTTTTGAGTTCCCAGAATTTAGGTAGGTTTCAGCCTCACCAGCATTTTCTTCCAAAGCCTTAAGTTTACTTGTTTTCTCTGATGAATTACTACATGTGATGTGTTTTCTTTTAAGATTCATGTTTTCTTTATCTTTTTCATTATTTATATTTTCCTTTGGTAAATGTTTTCTTTTATATTCCATTTTCTGTAGAACTGAAGCCTCTTGGTCACACTGAGGAACTGAACACCTAGAAGGAGCCAACGAGCTGATATATTTCTGGTTTTGATCAGTAGACAGTCGATCTGTGAGTCTGGTACTGGAGGACTGAGGAGAGAACTTGATGGGAACTCCTGACGTCTGGCTTGTAAAAGAATTAAGATTCTATATAAAAAAAAGGAAAATATTTCACTGGAATATGGATTCATAAGACAGACTATAAATCTAACTAATATCTGGTAAAACTCATCTAAGGAAAAGTGGGAACACAGCTTCATTCACATTAGCTATGTTCAAACTTTCTAATGAACTACAGGGTGTCTTCCAGAGCTGTGATTTTTCTCAGCCCAGGTAGGAGTGCATATCTGAGTCATGGGCTGGAACAGGCAGGAGTTTAGAGCATGTCCAGCTACAGCCCTGTGCTGGGACCATGCATGAGAAGAGATGGTCTGCAGGAGTGTGCTGAGGTGTGCAGAGTGTGGAGGTGAGTGACTGACAACTTCCAGCAAAGGCCATTTACAGAGGAAGTGAAATCACCACAACTATTTGATAATATGTTAATCTATCTACTACATTTTTTTAAAAAGTACAGCTCAGCAGCAATCCTCCTCCTGTTTCGATCTAGCAATGTACAATATTCATTCATAGATTCACAAACTGAAGGAAAAAGCATTTCTGTTTCTTTATAGGATTCATTTACAATTCAACTTTATTTTTAATGTTTTTTTTCAGAATTTATGGTATATTTATGCTGTTCTGAACAAATATATACCAATGGCACTTAATTTTGAAAGAAACATTTTTAACACTTGGTTACAGAAAATTTAAGTTTATCCTTATTTTTATTGCAGATAAATATTAGATGATTTTCAAGAGAAGACTTCCAAACATGAGATTACATCACATTAAAAATTCTGTAGAGTATAGAGGTGCCAAGAAGAAAAAGGAAAATATACAAAATCAAATTGTTGAAGAATATATTGCTCATGTATTTTTCACAGGGATGATTATGGATATCAAGTTATCGGAGTAGAGTATTTAGATTTTAGTGGACATATTTTAAACACTGATATAACGGGTTTTAATATGTCAATATTATTAATACACCAGAAATCATATCCTTTGAAACTTTTAAACTTGTGATAAATATTTTAAATGTCAACTTAAAAATGTACCAAGAGATACATGGCTTCTCAAAATTCTTCTGTGAGAAAGGGAGCAAAAAGATTTGAAGACCTCTGCCTTAGGGATCCCAGGAGCACAGTCTGAACACCACTGAGAGAGAGAATTTCTCCTCACTTACAAAGGGCTGCATGGTCCCTTCTGTCAAAGATGCCTCTCCCCCAGCTGCAGGACAAATAGCAGTCCAAGGACGTACTACAGGGAGTTTAGATTAAGGTAGACTGGGACTTGAACACAGGTAGGCTGCTCCAGAGTCCACTCTCCTGACCACTGTGCCGCCTCCACCACTGCTTCCGCTGTAAGGTCCTTGGTAATGCGACCTGTTCTTCTCTCCATCCCCAAGCCCAAACCACATAACTCATCACTGTCACCTTTATACCCCTTCCTTTCTGAACCTCTCTTTATTTCCACTACCCCAAAGTTCCAAGCTCTCTTCCTTTAACCTAAACATTTTTCAGAGTCCTTCCCCTACTCTCGGAAGGTGAGAACCTTTCAACGGACAACAGAATGGAACAGCACACAGACTGGGTGCTCGTCTCTCCTATCGTCCCCAAAGCACTCGGAAGTGACTTCTACGAGGACACAAACACATCGCCTACAGAGGTACTTACTGGACTCCTCTATCTTTCCCTCCCCTCCCCTTCATATAAATTAAACTAAAAACTCCTGGAGAGCAAGAACTCCTCTTTTTTTTAACCATTGCATCCACAGTGCCTAGCATATAGTAGACACTTAGTAAGTATTTGTTAAGTGAGTGAAAGTTATCTGTTTAGAATTACTCGCATTTGCAATGATTTACCTTTTTTTGCCAGTGATTGATTCTTCCTGTCTTCATGGAGTACTGAGTACTTCACACTGGATTTGTTTACCACTTCTGCAGCTTTAAAAAACACAAAAAGGCAACATGAGGCAAGAAATAAAGCAGCATCGAAATCTAAGCCATACAATTAGCTAAACATTGAAAATAGCCTTCTACAATCATGCTATTTACTCATTATTTACTAATTAAAACGATGTAATGAAATTTATGACCAAAATGCAAACTACCATTGCAATAAGCATTGATGTGCAGTATTGTCAAATTAACTGGAGACAGAGCTATGTAGTCATGAGATGCTTGTTAAAAAGTATGACTTGGTATTTGTATTTGAATACTTGATTCTGAAAACCCAAGTTCAACATTTTACAGAAACCTTTTAACTATTAAAGTTTTGAGGAAATTCTTAGACTGAATAACACTGCAATGAACAATGAGAGACTCAATAAAACATCACTAATACACACTTCTGATTTAACTTGTTTTAATTTTAATAAGCCTGGGCTGAACAGTTAGTGACAGAACCTGGATTCAACCTCAGACAACAGGACTCGAGTCTGCACTCGTGACTTCTGCGGTGCACGTTCCCTCTGTGGTAACAATAACAACCAAGAAATGCAAACGGGGGAGATCTTTCACTTACAATAGAGAAGAGTTATACTTAGGATACACTTAACAAGAAGGGCACAAGGCGCTCAATGATGAAAACTTAAAATCTTATGAAATGGCATAAAGCGAGCTCTGTACAAAAGGAAAGACACAGCATTGAGAAGTGCACAAAATATTTAATTCTCCCAATTATAAGTGTAACGCAATTCCCATCAGAGACCCTGCAAGGTCTTTTAATGGAAAAAGTAATTTCAGAATAATAGGAAGTATTAAGTATCTGAAAATAGACAAACAACGTAAGCTTTTAAAAATAAGACTTATTTTGCCACATTATCAGAACATACTAGAAAAGCCACTGTAATCAAATCTGCATGGTATTTGAATATGAATAGACAAAAAGATCTCTAGAACAGAGTAGACAGTCCAAAATCTGACCCCAGGACTTATGAGAATTTAGTATACGACAAAGATGTTGTTTCACCTCAGTAGAGAAGGACAGATTGACTAACAGTGACAGCACAACTAGCATCACTTCTGAAAGAAAACGATATATTGGGAAAACCGGGACAAAAAAAGGCAAAGGGTTAAAACTTACACTGTACAACAAGCTACACTGGTCAAAAAAGAAACAATTCAATAGAAAATGGGCAAACAGTAGGGAGAGGCAGTACACAAAACAGCAAATCCAAAAAGCAAACACACATGATACAATACTCAACCTCGGAGTAGCCGGGGAAGTGCAAACTAAATATAATTGGAGATGGAGGTGAATAGGTTGTCTCGTGCATTGCTGGTAAAAATGTGAATAATTAGGAACATTTTGGAAAGCAAACTGTCAACGTTTATTAAAATGAAAAATAAATGCACCACCCTTGGGAGTTGGGAAGAAAGACAGATCCAAAGGGAGCAAAGATGGTCCTCTGGGGTGTGACCAATGTTCTGTTTCTTGATCTGGGTGGTTACAGGGTGTTCAGTTTTCGAAATTTTGAGCCACACTCTCAGATGTGCTTTGCGTGTCTGTGTGTGTGTGTGTGTCTATTGTAACCTCAATGAAAACAAACAGATATAAAATACATAAATTACCTCACCAAACAATCTCACTCCTGGCTATCTGTTTCTATCCTGTTACTATCATGCAATAGTAAATAGGTTCAAACCAAAACATCCATGATGGTATTGCTTCATGGCCAAGAACTGAAAACAAAGTAGATACCAATTGATGAATAACTTATATAATATCTACACCACAAAACACAGAGCCATTGAAAAGCTGTATTAGCTGACTTAAGATGCAGGAACCTGTGAAAAGATGACCCTATTTTTGAAAACAATGACCAAACCTATGTACACAAGTATGTTACACACTCCTGGTCCCCAGGAGGCGGACTGAGATGGAAGTCTGTACTCGCAAAGCTCATCAGGGAGCGCTCTCAGGTTCAACACCTGCAGGGGAGTGGAGGATGAGAACTGGTCCAAGGTGCAGCCAGTACCAAGGCCTGTTCCAAACCTGGTGTGGTCCTGCAGATTTGTCCCCTGTTGGGTCAGGGGAGCTGGGCCTTTATACCCCAGCACCCACCAGTCTTCACCTGGTTGCTCCTGGGAAAGGGGAGTGCCCTTGGGTAAAGAAGCTCTTTGCAGCTGAGGTACTCATCAGGAGGGGCTGCGCTGTGAGCAGCAGCTGGGGGGATGAATGGGACGGGGGGGTGGGTCTGGGCGTCCGCAGTGTTCACTGCAGTCTTGCCTACGGTTCACCACACAGCACTGCTCAGAGCCACCTGCTTCAGATAGGTTCTGGGAGCAGCTCCTCCAGGACTCTGGTGGGGCTCTTTCTGGGGGAGGCTTTAAAGGAGTTAATGGGATGAACTGCATCTCCTTGTCCTGCAGCTGGTCTCAAAGTTGCAAATGCTATTCACCTCCCTCTTCTACTGCCCATTCTAAGGTCCCCTCACCCTGGTTTAGCACCTCTGCTGGGCTAGGTAGTCTGCCTAATCATGACCCAAACCCTCAAGTCTGAGAGGTTTAAGTCCCAGTCACCACGCTCTTCTCAGGTCATGGCCACTGCACTTACCATCAGATTTGAGCAGTGGACCAAGAGGTGTCCAATCACATCCCCCAGGTGCCAAGTGCATGCTTCCCTGCCCCAGTTATGAAACAGCAGCCCCAACTTTTCCTGATGAACAGGATGGAGATTACACTCCCTGCCTGCCAGTCTCTTGGCATAAGGAACTTGAAATAACTGGGCTGCAGCTATAGCTTGAAACTGAGTGGTACTCCTCCTGTGCCCCTCGTGGGTTTCTCCTTGGGAGTCAAAAGACTAAACCTGCAGAACCCAGATGTGCAGGGGGAGAGAAACACAAATACACTGGGGGGCACTGGGAGTGATGGTAAGCAGGGCCACTCCCACTGCCACCTTTTGGTTCCCAGAGCCTTTAATTATATATACTGGGGACACCGCACCCTGCAGTGGTCACTTACGTAGTGTCTACTGCATCCTGGAGGCCCCCCGCGCTGAGCCTGCGGCCCACCACTCCACCACCCCATCAGACTGTGTTTCCGGCGTGCGGCCGTGAGGGAACCCATGGGTTCCATGGTCATGTGCCCACAGAACCTCCTTCGCTGTAAAGTGGGTCCCTGAGTCCAGTGCGATGCTACACAAGATTCTGCCAGTGGATCAAATGCTCCATGAGCCCCGGATGACTGAGATCACTGAGGCCCTGCATATGAGAAAGGCAAACTCGTGTCTGGAGTATGTGTATTCGTCAAGGCAAATCACAGCAACTTTGGGGGCACAGGGGGCTCAGTGTTGTCAACTAGCCAAGTGACTGTTCTCCTCAAAGCTCAGTACTACTGGGGACCCAGCGTTCAATTTGCCGTTGGTGAGTTGGACATTCAGCAGAGGCATCAGCCAGACCAGCCCTGCGGAGGAGTGCCGTGCTGCTGGCCCACACAGAGCCTCCCCTGCAGCCCCATGGTCACTCCACTAAAGAGCCAAGGTTGTCTGCACTGGACCAGCAGATGACACAGGCTGGTGGACCTCACCTGGCCAAGCTATTCCAGTTTTGTCCCTTCCTCTGACACTCTGCCTCAGGTGGCTGCTCTCTGTGTCTCCTATTCTTGTGAGCTTCAGTTTGCTTTACTCCTTGGCAACTAATCCCATGACTCATCAACAATGCTTTAAACTTTCCTGGTTCAAATTAGTATATGGTTTCTGTTCCCTGAATCATACGCTCACTTAACACCCCCAGTACCTCTCAGCCAGGTTATGTGGTGACTTAATGGCCAAGAGAGAAAGAGGTGTCAGTTCTTGAGGAAGAATGAGTTACTTTTCAAGACAGAACCCTCTTGTATTGTCTTCAAGCTGGTGGGAAGGGGAGGACGGGGTTGGAGAGATGGGGGCTGGCTTTGAATACAGAGAAGCAGCTACTTCTGCAGGTCCCAGAGGCATCTGGGATTCAAGATTTGAAGGTACCAATCCAGATGTCCCCATCCTGCATCTCAGGGCCCTGACCCAAAGGCAGAACACCTGCCAGGACTGAGAATCCAACCTCCTCTGGAGCTCTACCAGCCTCACCAGGCACAGGGACTGTAACTGCAGGTGGCTCTCTAGCAGACATGCCCTCTGGTTATCATATTTAGCTTTTGATTGCTAATTAATCACCCTCAGCCTTTGTCTTTTTCCAAAAGATCCATTATACCCAGCCACAGCCACCAATTCCATTCTCTCCCACTGCCTTGCACTTATTGCCCAGCAGCCTGGGCAGCTGCATCACTGGCATGCTGGACCAGTCACCCCTAGTAAAAGCATTAACTGCCCGGCTGCCATCTGTACTCCATCCACGATGGGTGTGAAGTCACCAGTGCCAGCCTGCCCGAGGGTGACCCAACTTCAAAATGCCACGTCTGCTTTCTCAGACCACTGCTAGCACCAACTGTAGCAGATCAAGTTCCCTGGGAACCACACTGAGCTTTGCCTGCAGCAGTTTACCAGGGGACAGTCTTGGGGAGCAGGACTGAGGTGGGAGCTCAAATGTGATACAGTTGCAACAAAGGCCTTGGCTATCCCATCTGAGGAAGCGGGGGTCTGGACGGCACGGCATAGTCACACACACAAGCTATAATGACAATTATACAATTACAAATTATGGAAACAGACAAAAATATAAAAGGCATATGCTAAGTCCTTAACATGGGTTAGCAATGAGAGAAGTTTCAACAAAGGAAAAACCTGAGCTAAGAAAACAAAGTATATATAAACCCTTTCACCATGTGTAAATATGCAAAAAGAAATTTTTTAATATGGGATCATGGACGTTGTTTTTGGTTTTTCTGTTTTCAAAAAGCCCCCTCTTTTCTTGAAGTATAACAAACAAAAAAAGACCCTCCAAAACACTGAGGAGAATATAACATATATTTAAAATAGTGAAGTATGTATTATATTTGTAGAAAGCTTACAA